CTATACCTGATGGGTGGGGGTCCATATTGATACCACAGTATTATTACATAGCATTATTACATAGTAATAAAATGGTGATTTTGAATGGGTGAGTTGTTTTTAACTTCACCTGTCTCTGCCAAACTAGTTATTTTATGACTAAAATGAATGTTGGCTTTATTAGCTACAGGGCCTATGTTATGCTCAAAAAAATGGCGAATCGGAGGAAATGAAAAACTGATGCTGAATGTCGAGTTTTCAAAGATAGTTGGACCACTGATTTTTTTTGTTATTGAACAAAACGGGAACATCCTGTGTCTGATTTGCCAAGAGAAAGTAGCTGCCTGCAAGGAGTACAATGTGAAGCAACATTATTGTACAAAACATGCAAAGAAATTTGACAGCCTGGTGGGTCAGATTAGAATTGATCAGGTGAACTCTCTAACACAGAGCATGGATGGGAAACAGTCTTTTTTCAAAGCTGCAAGGCAGAATTCTGAGGCAGCAACCAAGATCAGTTTCTTGATATCCGAGGCAATAGCTAAGAGAGGGAAACCACTGTCTGATGGAGAATTTGTGAAAGGTTGCTTGGGCATATCTACATCTGCGGTATTCCCTGATAAACAGTCAATGGTGGAGAATATCAGCCTTTCACATCAGACAGTTGCTAGAAAAGTATACGACATTGGCATCCAACATTGAAGATTCACTGATGAAAAGACACAGTGCTTGCCAGTTTTACAGCCTGGGGGTTGATGAAAGCACAGATGTGAGTGATACAGCTCACCTGGCAATCTTTGTACGAGGAGTAACTAAACAATTCCATGTTGTTGAGGAACTGCTCGACTTATGTCCAATGAAAGGGAAAATGACAGGACAGGACATTTTCAATGAAGTAAGGTGTGTCTTGTTGAAATTCAGTCTTCCAGAGGACAAACTCTGTGGTCTAACAACTGATGGAGTCCCTGCGATGATAGGCAAGCACAATGGATTTGTCAGTTTACTGGTCAAGTCAGTGCCTCAGGATGTCGTCATACATCACTGCATCATTCACCAGGCACAACTGTGTGCAAAGGCCCTGGAGGTGAACAATGGGATGGAAAAGGTTGTTTCTACAGTCAGTTTCATAAGGTCAAAGGGGCTTAATCATAGACAGTTCCAAGCATTTCTAGCTGAGATAGGATCAGACCATGATGATGTTATTTATTTCTCCCAAGTTTGTTGGCTCAGCAGGGCAGCCACACTAGCCAGATTCTGGTCACTGCTTGACGAAAGTAAAACCTTCATGACGAACAAAGGAAAAGATATTAGCTTCATGGACGACGATGCATGGCTGAATGACTTGGCATTCCTAGTTGACATCACCAAGTATCTTGCAGATTTGAATCTAAAACTACAAGGGAAGGATCAATTTATCAACAGACTGTATGAACACATCCAATCCTTCATTCATAAGCTGGAATTGTTTCAGATACAGTTGAATACAAAGAATGTCACCTATTTCACAGTACTATTAACAAGATGTGCTGAGACTGTGAACCAGGACAAGTATTCTGCACTGATCGGCCATCTGCTGGATGAATTCAAACAAAGATTTGCGGATTTCAGGGAACACGGCAATGAGTTGAAGCTGTTTGCAGATCCATTTGGAATGGATGCCACGATGCTCCTGACACGTTCCAAATGGAACTAACTAACATCCAAAATAACGGTGCCTTGAAGAGAGCTTTTGCAGAACATGACCTACTGACATTTTATAGTCAATATTTTACATGGCACTCTTTCCCAAATCTATTGAATCATGCACTTTGGTTCATTGCACTGTTTGGCACCACGTATTGCTGTGAACAGCTTTTCTCAAGAATGAAGAACATAAAAACAAAATAAAGATCATTTTTGACAGATGGATATTTATCTGGAATGCTCTGCATCACAACATCAAGTATGCCAGCAGATATTAATAACTTGTGCAAGCAAAAACAATGCCAGGTATCACACTAAAGAAATCAGTGTTCATTGTAGTTTTCAGAAAGTTAGTAAGAGTACACTTGTACATATTGTTTTTACACTGTGCAGCAGATGTGTTACTAACAAGTTATTAATTCACTAAAAATAAATCTTCTTGAAGATTATTCTCAAAAATGCCCACATTTTGTTGCTTTGATTAGTTCCCACTCTGGCTGATATCTTGTCCACATTTGATCAGTCAACTTGCATTATGCTTCTTTCATTCATTGAGAAGTGAGTAGAAGTGAAAGTGTTTTAGTCAAGTGTTTGGTATTTAATTCTTGCTTTTATATTGTTTTTATTTTGCATTTTAAACCACATTTCCAGACCCATTTCATTGTCACTTCCTGCGACTTCATTGGTGTCAAAGGTCACGTGACATCACTTCCTGCTGTGATACCACTTCCTGTGAGGTCTTTGAATATGGCTCGCCGGCCCACTGGGTGATAAACAGTTTGTGATCTGGCCCCACATTCAAAAAGGTTGGACATCCCTGCTCTACACCAATGGTTCTCAATCTTTTTAGACTCAAGGCACCTCAGAGAAAATGCCAGCTCTTAGCTTTCACTTGGTTTGTGAGTGCAGAAAAATAATTCTGCAATTCTTCTGTTTTTAAGAACTCAGGCCACAGGTCAGACTGTTTTGGACACTGTGAATTCTTATTCGAAAACTTTGGGTTTATCTTGTGAATCACGTATTTCCACACCTAAAAGTGCTAATAGTGTGCAGCATCTCTTGGCACCCTGGCTGAGAAGCACTACTCTTTGCATGTGCTCCTTTTCCAGTTTCTTTTCCCTCAGTCAGCAGTTGTAGATGTTTAGTGTGGTAGCTGGTTGTGTTAGACAGGGAGTTGCTGGAAAAGAGACAGGGCAGGTAAAAGTGGTGATGCAAAGATGGTTACCCTTGGGAGGCAGACTTAAAGCTGTGATGCGTAGCTTCTGGTGTGTTGTAGCTGTGGTGGTGGAAAGAGGTTGCTGCCGGTAAAGTATATACAATTAAATACGTACTTACAAAATCCAGGTGGCTTAACCTTTATTTCCACACTTTTGTATCAAATATTTTGTTTGCATATGAACTCTACTTTATCCACAAGTTTTTGTGGCTTTTTCTTTTTTAAAATAAGCAGAGGTGAGGAAGGGAGATAACCTGAAAGATCTAATAAATTCCATATATGTAAACTGAATACAAGTACTTACCAGCTTGCAAATAGTGGTTTCCTAGCCTTGTAATACAGCATATGATTGCTCTGTCCTCAGCCTGCCCACACAGCTATGGTCGCAGTGGCCACAGTTCCAGACCCAGTCCTAGTTGCTGTATGATATATATATATATATTTTAAGTAACACTTAGCTTGCATAATAAGAAATGGCAGCATGCATTAATTTAAGCTAACTAAGAGGGCCCAACAGGAAATGCTTGTTCTAAAAGACTTTAGAGGTGCCAGAGGACTGGAAGAGGGCCAATGTGGTTCCCATCTTCAAAAAAGGGAGGAAGGAGGACCCGGGAAACTATAGGCCAGTTAGTCTTACCTCAATCCTGGGCAAGCTTTTTGAGAGAATTATTCTGGCGCATATCCACGAGGGGCCAGCAGGGGAGATTATGCTT